AGCACAGATGTACCCTGGGTGAGGGGCGAGCCGGGGCGGCGGAGGGTGCAAAGCCCCCCCCTTTCCCTGGGGAATCGGGTACGGGCTGGGGGAGGCAGCTGGAGTCAGGCCCCGGGCAGCGAGTGCAGCCCCTGGCAGAGCACCTCGGCTTCCTCGGCTGAGGCGGGAGCTGCCTGTGGGCGGAGAGGCGGCAAAAGTCATAAAAGGAATTAAAATGGGTGAGGGGCGAGCCGGGGCGGCGGAGGGTGCAAAGCCCCCCCCTTTCCCTGGGGAATCGGGTACGGGCTGGGGGAGGCAGCTGGAGTCAGGCCCCGGGCAGCGAGTGCAGCCCCTGGCAGAGCACCTCGGCTTCCTCGGCTGAGGCGGGAGCTGCCTGTGGGCGGAGAGGCGGCAAAAGTCATAAAAGGAATTAAAATGCAAAAGTCCCTGGTAACTGTCAAGCTGGACAAGCCCCCCCCTTCCACGGGCAAAGCCCCTTTAAATTAAAAAAATACAAAGGGATTCTGTTTAACTCTTTATTTTTCCATACATTAAATTTACTCAGATAAAAACATTCTAAAAATGTACAATTTTACTTTTAACAAAGTATAATAAAACATAAAAATCCCAATACCAGAATACTTGACATTTACAATTCAAAATCAAATTAGCTGAATATTAAATATTTACAAAACTATTTAAAATATTTATAAAGTTACATGCACAATTTGTAATACTAGAATTGACCGAAGTAAAAGAAATGGCTCAAATGGGAGCAGGAGTTTCCTTCATTCCTAGTGGAAAGTTATGTCCAAGAGAAGCTGTTAATCTGCACTTGAAAACACACAGGATTTGCTTTCTGCCTCAGTACCAACACGTTTCTTGCTGACGTAAGAAAAATTTAAGAGAGCAAACGGGAGGTTCCAAGGGTTTATTACAAGAGGTGGGGGTGGGCTGGGTTACCGGGGCCTCGACCAGCAGCGGTGTCTTCCAGCCTCCTGCAAGCGCTGGGTTCCCTGGATTTCCATCCGGATTTGCCCACGTCCATCTCATTTCACCGGCGTTCCAGACCACCCCGAATCCACAGCTCCGAGTGTCCGTGACCGCCAGTAAGCAGCCAGCCAGCCAGCCCCTACGCGGGGGTTTCAGATGACGTCACTTTGATTTTGGGAAGGAGCGTCGCTCTGCCGGACCACGTTTAATTTTGGAGTGCCTTCACCCTGAAGCCGGCCGGCGAGAAACGGTTTGGTGAAACGCCGGCGCAGTTTGCCCAGAGAGGCGGTAGAAGCCCCATCCCTGGAGACATTCAAGGTCAGGCTGGACGGGGCTGTGAGCAACCTGATCCAGCTACAGCCGTCCCTGCTCACTGCAGGGGGGTTGGACTAGGCGAGCTGGAAAGGCCCCTTCCACCCCAAACTCTTCTATGAAACAGCATTTTTGGTAAAGGTCTAGCGCCAGGCCGTGATTTTCGCAAGCCCGGCCCTTCATTTGCCAAGGTTTGATGACGGCGGAATGAAAAAGCTCCACGAAACGTAGAGCGCGACGCGCTGTTCTGAGGAAAAGCACCGCGGAACGCTCCGGTCGACACCTCGCTTGCCAAAACGAGGCTTCCCTCTTCGCTCTCCCGCTGTTCGCCGCCGAGCCTGGCGTATTTATTAACGCTTCCTTTGCAGACTGCCAGCGCGAGGAGGAGTTTGCTGGGAATTCCGTCCTCTTCCGAGTATTTCCATCACCAACGCTCCCGAACGGAAAACACCTCTGAAGCTGCACCGCCCGTCGCTCGCTCCCCCGAGGGAAGACTCGTCGCTACCTTCTCCGTGCCCCTGCAGGGAGATGACTTGGGATTCCCTTCTGCCTTGCACTTAAAAATCGTTCCTGTTCCACAGTGAAATCCAGTTTGAGAACTAATTCTTTTTATACTTTTAGGACAAAGGTAGGAATAAATAGCGTTCTTTGAAATCGCCATCTTTCAATGTATAAAAATAGGTTTTAACAACGGGTTCTTTCAGCCGGCGAAGCCGAACTACTATTCTAAAACAAGCTGCCTTTCTTTTTGGGGCGGGGGGGAAAGATGGATTTGTGCCTTTTAAAAACAGCGGAAGGATTATTCAACGGAACTCAAGCGCTCCGTTGGGACTTCCCGGCTTTGGTGGCTCTCGGTACAAAGCGGGCAGCGTTCAGCGGCAGGTCCGAAGCCGCAGCTCGCTCCGACCGAGGGCAGGCTCTGCGACGGCCGCCGGCTCCGCCAACGCTTCTCTCTTACACTCGGGGCGCCTCAAGGTACTCAAGACTTCGGAACTGGAACTTGCTCTAAAACCAGACTTCACCATTCAAAACCGTTACCTAAAAGTACATCGAAGCCACTTCAAGAAACAGCATCAGCCTTAACTTTACACAAAGGAAACAATCCCAAAGAAAGCTCCGAAGAAAGGAATGGAACAGGTTGCTGGACAGAAGTTCAGTTTTACAGTCCTTTCGTTAGGGTTTCGGCTCTGTGATGAACATCAGAGGAGACTTTGTGCCCAGCCTTGGGCATGAAAACAAACGGCAACCGGTACAGAAACTATTATATTTTTTATTTTCTTTTTTGTTTTTTTTTGCTGTTGATTTTTGCTATTTCGAGAGGGTTTTTAACACTTGCACGTGTGTCGAAAACACAGTTTATTGAAATAGAATTCAGTTTTAAAATACTGCTTAAAAAAAGTGAAAAAAAAATTAAACTAAAAACGTTAAGGTTTGGCTTTCAGCACATGGTCCAGGCCACTGGAGAGACCCTCGAAGCTGTAAATAGTAAACGTCACCACTGCAAACTGCACGTTTCCTTCAGCGTGATACAGCGGGACGGCTCGTCCCTACCGTTGTCTCAAGCTCATTAAGGCAAAGAAAATTGCATTGTCAGTTTTCATCCCTTTAGCGTTGTAGGCCTGAAGGGTGTTCGTGAGAACACGGGGGTGACCTCCTCCAGCGCAGGCAGAGCCGACAGAAGCGTTTCGGTGCGCGCGACACCGCGGGCGGTGTGAGCTGGGCCGAGGATCCACAAATCCGGGGGGGCGGGGGGTGTGTTTTGTTCATTGCATAGGAATAAAAAACACCTTTTCTTTTGAAAACCGAACGGATTTGAAGCTTTTGGTTTCCCCCGAAGCCAAATCAGCTACGACACCCAGATAGC